CCTACCTCACACCATGTACAAGAATTAACTCAAAATGGATCAAAGACCTAATTTAAGAGCTAACACCTAACACTCAGAAGAAAACATGAAAAAATTTTCATGATCCTGGATTTGGTAATGGACTCTTAGATATGATACCAAAAGCATAAGCAACAAAAGAAAACATAAACTGGGCTTTGTTAAAATTAAAAACTTCTGTGTATCAAAGAACATCTTCAAGAAAAAGACAACCTACAGAATGAGAGAAAAATATTTGTAAGTCATGTATCTAGTAAGGGTCTAGCACCCAGAATATATAAAGAATTATTACAATTCAACAACAAAAAGACAAACAACCCAATTAAAAAATAGGCAAAGGACTCACACAGATATTTCTCCAAAGATATACAAATGGCCAACAAGCAAGTGAAAAGATGCTCAATATCATTCATTCGTCATTAGGGAAATGCAAATTAAAACCACAATCAAGTACCACTTCAACATCCACGAGGATGGCTATAATTTTTAAAAATAGGCCCTGGCCGGTTTGGCTCAGCGGTTAGAGCGTCGGCCTGCGGTCCTGAGAGACCCGGGTTCGGTTCCCGCTAAGGGCACGTACCTCGGTTGCAGTTTGTCCCCGGCCCTGGTCGGTTGTGTGGGTGGCAGCCACTCGATGTGTCCCTTTCACATCGATGTTTCTCTCTCTCTCTCTGTTCCTCTCTCTCCCCCCCACTCTACCTGAACAAAAAATGGAAAAATGTCCTCGGGTGAGGATGAAAAAAAAAAAAAAAATAGGAAATAAACCTTGGTGAGGATGTGGAGACATTGGAACATTCATCATCGCCAGTGGGAATATAAGTGGTTCAGCTGTGCAAGTTTGGCAGTTCCTCAAAAAAATCAAACATAGAATTACCATATGACCCAGTAATTCCACTTAGGTATGTATCTCAAAGGACTGGAAAATGGTGCTCAACTACATGTACACACACATTCATAGCAGCTCTATTTGTAATAGCTAAAAGGTGGAAACAGCTCAAGTATCCACCAACACATGAATGGATACAAACTGTGATGTATGTGGAGATGAACTTTACAAACATTATGCTAAGCAAAAAAGACAAAAGGTCTAATTTTGGAGCTAGAGAAGGTGGTTGTACATTGTGAATGTACTAAATGCCACTGACTCATGTTCACTGTAAAATGGCTAATAATGCTACGCCCTGGTCGGTGTGGCTCATTTGGTTGGAGCGTTGTCCTGTGCACTGAGAGGTATGGGTTCGATTGCGGTCAGGGCACATGCCTAGATTGTGAGTTTGATACCCAGTTGGGGTGTGTACGGGAGGCAACTGATCGATGGTTCCCACATCCATGTTTCTCTCTCTCCCTCTCCCTCCCTTTCTCTCTAAAATCAGTAAAACATATCCTCAGGTAAGGATTAAAAAATAAATTAAGTTAAATGGCTAATTATGTGTGTCACCTCAATTAAAAAAAAAAAAAAAGCTGGCTCCCTTGACCAAAGTGTAATCTGCAGAGGTCACAGACTTGCTGTAAAGGTACTGGAAAGCCTTTATTGTCTTCTTCATGATATTCAATGGTGTAAAACAAGAACAAAACTAAACTCCCTTCTTCAGTAGGCTTTGTGAGGAATACTCATCCAGTTTTGTTTCTTCTTCTGTTCCTCTGCTTGCCTTGAACATCTCTGTTCATTACCCACCACTAAAAATGGGCAAGAGAGGATAGTAAGTATGTAAGTTATAATTTGTTAACACTTCTGCCATAAAGCAATCAGTTATTGAAATGTAGATGGGGTGTTAAATATAAATCAGTAAAAACAGGGTTATGGAATGACCAGGGCTTTGGATTTCATTTATCCACACAATTTCATTATAGTGGAGAAAACCATCATAAAAACTGCTACTGGACTGTAGTAGACATGTCTCAGAACTCTTGAGACCATTTTAACCAATCTTATAAAAGTTCCGACTGCTTGGTACTCAGACTTCGCTGCACACTTTTATCTAGGTTTATTCGTTTCCTAGGGCTGCCCTAACAAAGTACCTCAAACTATGGGTTCAACAACATGAATTTCTTCAGTTCTAGTGGCTAAAAATTTGAAATGAAGGTGTCAGCGGGACGAAGTTCCCTCTAAGGCTCTATGGAAGATTCCTTGCTTCCTCCAGATTCTGGGGGCCCCAGGCAGCCCTTGGTTTGTGGCAGGGTAACTTCAATCTCTGCTTCCAATCTCCACATGCCTTGCTCAGTGTGTCTGTCTCCTCTTCTTATAAGGACATCACTGGATTTAGGGCCCACCCTAAATCCAGGATGTCACCTCGAGACCCTTAGCTAATTATACCTACAATGACTTTCCAAATAAGATCACATTCTGACATTCTGAGTGAACATGAATTTTGGGGGGACACTATTCATTCCATTACATTATGTAAGCACCCTAACCTCTCTTTTTGACACATTAGTGTGTTTTTTCCCCAAAAGTCTAATTCAAATTTAGCTTGGTAAAAAAATAACTCTTCTGGGAAAACTTTAAAAAAATAAATCTAATCTTCAAAAGAAACTAAATCAAACTAACAAAAAAATCAAACCCTCAGAAATTTGGTCCTCCCTTTATTGACTAAAACTGATGTAAGCAAATAAGAAAAATGTCTTTTGACAGAAACAAAACCTGATAGATTGATGCTATATTCTTTATAATTTATTACTTACAAAAATAACTTCCACTCTGTCATTCTAACAATTCAACAAATCCTCTTCTAGAAGTCAGGAGCATTGACACATACAATTTTTACTATAAAAACTTTTTTAAAAGTCCCTAAGTGGTAATTTTTTAAATGTTTAAAATCTACATTTTAACAATCTGGAAGGTGAAAATTTATAACAAATCATCTAATCTTCAAAATGTACAGTGAAATGTGGTAAAAAATCAACTGCTTGAAATAGCATGATGATAATGTATCTGCATATAATTTCAAATCCTAATTGATAAATATAAGTGTTTCATGTTCAGATAATTTTATAAATAAACCACCAAATTAGAAGACAATGTTGGTAGACTACATTTTCCACACTGTAAGAACATATCCCACTTCATATATTTTAACACCCAGGGGAACGTTTTCTACATTAATGAAAACTTTATTTTAATTTTCAGGAATTCTTTTACATGTACCAAAACTTCATGTGAAATAGCAGAAGCTATTTTTATTTTTTATATAAAACCAGTAAGTATGAACCCAGTATAGAAATCTGATGTTAGACAGTTCCTTTGGCAGAAAACATTTAATTATAAACAAGTTTTAAAATAAATACAATGCATAAGATCATAGAAAAGAAAAATAACAACCCTGTATTTCTCAACACTAAAAATATCTCCGTACACCAATTTAATAACATTTTTATACTACCAACAACCTGCAACACAAACTTCATTACAGTATGGCAAAAATAAAATTATTTTTAATTTAAGAGGGAGAAGAAACTTCTGAATGTATAAAATTTCACAGATAAATGCCAATATACACTATTTATATACATGTTGCCTGTTACATTATTCCAAAACTACATTAGATTAACTCAATTGGCTGATCTCGATTTAGTGGGTGTGCAGTATTTATACTAGCTCAAGACTTATGCAGAATTAAGCTTTTACAATTCCAATGACAATTATACATGAAATATTTACACAAATATTAAAATAACTGTTTATTAAATATTGTTTAGGCGAAAAAATGATTTTCCACATATATGCAAACGTTAACTATTATCAAGAGCAGCTTTGTAAGTTTTTTTTCAATGTTTTGTATTCTTTAAAGAATAGGTTTCCAAAAGTTAAGGTGCCGTTTCAGAATTTTTTTAAGTATATAAGTGAAATCACAAGGAAGAAAAAGAGATACTGGATGAAAAACAGAACATGAAACATTAGAGGTGGAAACTTTCTTTCCAGTTACCTGTGTCTGAAATAAGATAATGACAGAAACTGGGCTTTCAAATACTGCTTGTTTTTCCCTTTACACGTAGACCAAGTAGTATACAGACTGTTATGTTGTTCTAGCATAGTTTCCTTGAAAAAGGACTGTACTTAGAATCGAATTTCTTTAAATAGTAAATGACAAAAATGTTTAGAGCACTGTCTTCATATGGATTCTTAGTAGAAAGATTAAAGGCTTTCTTTAAAAAACAATATAGAAATGTTGCTTCCATACAAATAACTTTTATAAACTAAACTTATACCCATGGCTTTTCTCAGTCTAAATATCATGTATCTGTAAGCATATGTATTTGCATTTTCTATTTTCTGTTATCTAAAAAATTGGTAGATGATACAGTAGTGTGCAATTTTTAGGAGAGAAAACAATCCCTATTGGTTACTACCTAACTCCTACAGTGGAATCTGTTAGCACTCTAAGCCAATTTAAAATGTAGACTTCAGAAAACGGTCTTCCCTGTCAATCCACTGCCTGCTGTTATTCCACAGGCTCAGAAAGGATGGACAAATTTTTCAACAGCCTGACATAGCATGGTACTCGAACTACCTGTGTAAAGCAGCAACGTATTCCCCTGGTCAGTGTGCTCAATGGTTAGAACATCAGCCTTAGCACCAAAGGGTCACAGGTTCAATTTCCGTTCAAGGGCATGTACCTGGGTTGCAGGTTCGATACCTAGCCAGGGTAGGGTGCTTGCCAGAGGCAACCAATCAATGTGTCTCTCTTACATCGATGTGTGGGTGGCTCTCTCTTCATACCTCCTCCCTTCCACTCTTTCTAAAAAGTCAATGCAGCCCTGGCCGGTTTGGCTCAGCGGTTAGAGCATTGGCCTGCGGTCTGGAGAGACCTGGGTTCGGTTCCCGCTAATAGCACGTACCTCGGTTGCAGTTTGTCCCAGCTCTGATTGGGTTGTGTGGGTAGCAACCACCCAATGTGTCCCTTTCACATCGATGTTTCTCTCTCTCTTCCTCCTACTCTATCTGAACAAAATATTGAAAAAAATGTCCTCGGGTGAGGATAAAAAATAAAATAATAAAAATAATAAAAAGTCAATGCAAAAAGTATCCTCAGGTGAGGATTAACCCCCCAAAAAGCAACATATCGATAAAAACACACTTATCATCCATGCTTGGCATACATCACACCCAACTATGAGGAATGTCTCATGGCTCAAATTCACATCATGGTGAGCAGGAGATGCAGGATCTCTGCTCGCCTTGCTGCGTGGAGGAAAACAAACGAACCCCACCTTCATCACAGAATGGCCCTCATGGAAAAGTCTGAACAGTGGTAATTCTAAATACCAGGAACGCTTGCAGGAAAAGAAATGCTGTCCTCCAGGGAATGGAAATGTTTTCTGGGGCGTTCTGTGGCCCACTGCTGGCACAACTGGGGGCCTAGCTAAATGCCTTATCACACATCTGCATTTACATGGTCTTCACTTCTAATAACAGAAAACATTTCTGTTCCTTCCAAATTGCTCTTCTTCTGCAATTATATGCTAATTATTACTCAACACAACACTGAGAGCAAAACTGACAGTATTGCAAATACAACTGCAATTTAAGGAGCCAAAAGGAAGTATGTTGGCAAGCTAAATGCTTGCACAGTAAGATGTTCACCTTTTAAAATAATGGTGTGTGGGAAACTGAAAAAAATATGCAAACAAAATATATTTAAAGGTTTTCAATGCTCTCCCAATTAACATGACGCTTTAGGGGCAAACGATTTCTTTATAAAATTTAAAGTCCTATTTCATGCTGTTTAGTGTCATAAGGCTACTTACTGGGTGTCCAGATTTGTGTAGAGAAATTCAAAGTTAAGACAAAACTAATGGAAGCAACTAGAAGCTGCCTGTTCAAAAGTTTGACTTCAAGCACACTGGACTGAAAAAAACCCTTTTATGGCCTAGTAGAGTAAGATAAGTTTTTGTGCTTTATTCATGGTTTGTCCTTTTGAGTTCAGAAAAAACATTTTTTCCTTCAGTATTTTCAGATTAGAAACGTAACGGTCGAATAATACACACGAGAAGGCTTTAAGAAAACGCTTGGTGTGTTTCTAAAGGAGAGGCTGCTGGTGGTAACTTGTCTGCGGCGGCGCCACTGCGTGCGCCGGGAAGGCCGCCAGGGGCGGCAGGCTGGGCGCGGCGCTCTGGTAGGACAGATCCACCGACACCCCCAGCTGCTGTGTGTAAGCTGTGCCGGCAGCTGACTGCAGGCCAGAGTTCTGGTTCATATACATCGGATTGGAAACAGTGTCTTGTCCGGTGCTACAAACAAAATTTAAAAAAGAAAACCATGTTTACTTTGTTTGCACTATCTAGGTTATGGTCGAGATCAATCATCCTGAGAAAGTGAAAATGCCTTCTCTATCTTTTTAGGTTTATTACCTCTGCTATTCCAATTATGATTTACTCACTCCACCTATCCAACACTGTTAATGTTAATTTTTATATCTGGTTAGAAAGTACTCAAAAAGTAAAAAATATAAGATTATAAGGCCCATTTAACCTGAAGTCATTGAAAATCTTTCCAGGAGATGCAGACTGTTTCTGCCAGTGGAGCCTTGGCAGTTTCAATGAGCACAAACCCCAGCTCCAGCCCACGCCAGCCCACGCTCTTCCTTCCCCATCTCTCATCCAGCACGAAGGAGACCACCCTCCCCCTCACATCTTCTCTACACTGTCCTTTGGCAGGGCACTTTCTAAACTGCCCTGACAGCCTCGTCCAAATCCCCACATACAATGAACGAAGGCTGGGAGGACGGTGTACTCCACACAGGACCCTGCGCTTACCTGCAAGACAGTCCTGACCTATAGTTTACTTAACACTATTTAAAAAAAAAAAGAAGAACTAAGTGAAAAACCACACCAAATTGGAGGACTTCTGTTTGTTTCTATAGTTACATACATTTAAATGATATATTATTTTTAATTACACTAAATACACTGCTTACAGGCTAGGAGGATTAATGTCCACACTACTCATTTCTCCTTGGTACTTCTTAGGGTTAACCAAAGCAACAAAATTTTACATTTTAACTGAACACCAATATGAACAGGTTTATTTAATTTCCAGATAGCTAAAATTTATACTTACGGAATTTAAGAGTGAAAAGAAATCTTAGATATTTACACATGACTATATTGAATAAACATTTTGCGTGGTTAAGTAAAATAGAAGACAAGATTTAAATATGATTTTCAAAACAGAAGTGTTAGTATAAAAATGAGAACACAAATTCTACAACTCAAACACACTTTTTAAGAGTCAAAACAACAGTTTTCTAACTTTTAGACGTGCATACACATAAATATGTCTGGGACTACTTTGCTAGGCTGATTACAGCACAATGCTATGGTATATCTGTGCTAACGTATATCATGGGCTTGGTCCCTGGAAGGGACGGTTGGCTTCATTTTGTTCCAGGGACCCAGACTATAAGCCATGGGCAACCATCTCATGAGTAGCAAAGCTAAGAGCAGCACCATTCTGACTTCATGGGATTATGAATAAGCAGTTCTAGAACTTCATCTCAATAGTAAAAGATGGCAATATTATTACAAAGAGAAGGGTCTATTTATTCTCATTCTGGAAGTCTATGAACATTTAATGTATACAATTACAAAATTAACACAGCTCCCAAAACTTACCTTAAATATGGAGTTTGAGCAGACTGTGTTGTCACTGAGGAGTTCACATTTGGAGGCAGAGACCTCAGTGGACCAATCTGATCTGGTCCTAGGCTGTAGCTTTGGGCAACAGTAACTTGGTGAATGCTTTGACCCATATAATTTCCACCATGCACTTGAACTGGGTATGTCTATTAACCAAAGAGAGAAAGTTGACTCACTGAACTCCCAAACAACTGCCTAACAATATATTTAAAACTTTACAAGACTTAAATGAAATAAAATGTTAGAGGTCTTTGGGGAGCAGTCTGGTTTTGCCAATCCACTCACCCTAGTATAAAAAGTGGAACGCTTCTTATCACAGTGCCAAATCTATGGACATTTCTTATTTACTTGGTGGTTCTTGTATTTTGCAAGGGTTTGGAAGGAAAAGAGGTGGTGTATATTTAGCCAACTGGAATCCATCCAGGTTGCCTATTACTCGGTGATGCATCTTGCTGTAGAGCCACAGAAAATTAAATACTCTCATGAAGGGCTGCCATCAGAAAGATGACCTTCACCTTCATTCCAGGATGACTTAATTCAACTCCTAAGAATGACACTTGGGAGAATATGTTGAAGAATAACGGCATCAGGGCAGGGTGCAGGTCCTTCCTGCAATGTATCTTTTACTTCCTGCCTTAAGGACAGACAGGACGAAAGTAAAAAATAATTTTGTGGGCTAAGGAGAAGCTGTATCTTTAGGAAATAGTAAAATGGTCTAAGTCTCTTTGGATATTTATATGTGCTCTACTTAACTGTCAGGGTAACAGCTCCTTAAGGATAGGATCTACCATATGTCTACTAAATACAGTATTCAAAACAATGCACGTTTAATAAATATATTGTAACTACCATTACATCAGTTTTAAAGTAAGCTATTTTTAAAGCAAAAACCATTGACATGAAAACTCAGAATGCTAGAAATGCCAAGTGCAATCCTATCACTTCCTCAGCAGACACGGAACAACTCACTGACAACCGGCTGAGACTGCGAATGGACCTCTTCTGCAGTCAGGGTTTCTGGTGGCTTCACAGACACAACTAATGGTGTGTTACTCCAAGTTTTTCTAGTACAAAAACTTTTTTTCAAATTAGAATAGGAACTTTGAATATTTCAAATACTGTTATGAATAGTATTGATAGAAGTGAGGAATCAAAGTGATAGAAAGCTAACTTTTTAAATAAATGAGTTGTGCATATTGTAAATAGTATGCAACACCAAAACCTGACATAAGAATGACAACCCTTTAGACATATAAAAAGCAAATATAATATATAGTTCTAATATACAATGGTACAGACATTTCCATTTTGTTCAATTTTCACAGCAGCATCAAATAACTCTTTGAAAACAGAAGCAATATTGAATACACGCCAGATGTCTTTTGCACCCAGAAATCCTTTCAACCCCCATTGTAATGACTCTTTCATCACTTTCAAAAGTTCAGGGCATGGCATATTTGATAAATGCATCTTGTCTGACGTGACAGTTACTATAGTAACCATTCTTTTTCTACTTAACAATTATGTCAAGTCACCTAGATTATGCACCCACATTCTATATTCTCTTTTTGGTATCTCCTTCACACACTTCTTTTCATACCAGTTTTCATAAATTAACATGAATTTTGTTCATCAGAGCTCATTCTGAATTCAATCGCTAACTGGCTGAAACTTGAAAATGGCTTCAGAATACTGGAAACTGACAAGCATTCACATCAGCTAGGAAGCACAGGTAAGGTGTCAAGTTCTGGGAGGGATGCTGTCCATGAATAAATAGCTTACTGAACCTGCATCAACAGGCCTGCCCCATATCCTCATCACACATGAATTTTTAACAATTTAAGTCATGCATCTAAGAAACGAAAACATAAAACATGATCTGAGAACAAAAGAAGTTCATTAAGCCTTTTAATAATCATGCAAGTCAAAGAAATCTTGACAGAAATGTTAAATCTTGCTTGTTGTGCAAAAAGAATATCATCAGAACCTCCTGAGGAGACTTCTGATATGTCACACAGTGTCCTAAAGCAAAGGATTTATAGTCTGTACTTACAAAAAGGATTTATATTTGCTTAAAATAGTCCTGGCCAGTTTGGCTCAGCAGTTACAGAGTGTCGGCCACGGACCAGAGAGTCCTGGGTTTGGTTAATACCTCGGTTGCAGTTTGACCCTGGCCCCGGTCGGAGTCATGTGGGTGGCAACCAGTCAATGTCTCTCTCTCACATCGATGTTTCTCTCTCTCTTCCTTCATCTCTCCCTCCCACTCTATCTGAACATAAATGCAAAAAAAAAATGTTCTCGGGTGAGGATAAAAAAGATGTATGCTTTACATTTACAAAGCATAAGAAGAACCAGAAGTACCCCTCATGTATTTTGTGGTCTCTTTATTATGGTAGAAATGAACTGTGTGAAATATCAATATCTAATTTGTCCTAGTGAGCACTAATTGCTTAGCCAATATTTTTCTATCAAAAATGAGTTTTATAATTTTGCTCATGAACCATAGGAATTTTAATACTATGCTTTAATATTTTTTAATTAAAAAAAATTTTTTTTAATTTTGAAAAATGTTCTCAAAAAACATGCTCACCTGCACTGGAAGCCCAGCTGATGAAGGTGGGTAATGTGCTGGGGGATGGACCTTTGAATACACCGAATACACTGGTGCTTCATTCACCAATTTGTTATATAGTTCCAGAGCTTCCAAGACCTTTACATTTAATTCAGACAATTCTGAATGCTTCCTAAATAGAAGACAAGCACTTTAATATTCTTTAAAGCATGTATTTAGCAACACAAATTATTTTTTAATTTCCACACATTTTCTATTCATATTTTAAATGGTTCTTTATATACAGGGTGGACCAAGCAGTTACAGTTGCTCATATGGAAAATAATATAATAATAAGTAATACAAGAATAAACTGTTCCGCGTACTCACAACTGTAAACCTACGTTTGTCCTACCCTGTACAATGAAAGAATCTTCACAAAGGGAAAAGAGGAGGAGGAATCATTTAATTCTTATAATAACTAGCTAATATGACTTCATAAAATTAGGGAAAGTCCTTTCCACACCTCACAAAATGCAATCAATTAATAATTTTGGTACTAGGAGAATTATGGTCCATGTTATAGATTTCTGTTGGAAATGCAATTACAAAGAAGAAAATTTTCTCAATTTAGGAAGAGTCCAGGCCTAATTAAAAATCTCAGTAGAACAAAGTACTCAGGCAAGGTCCAGAGGCTGCTAAGAAATATATGACCGAAATAAAAACACATTCATAAACAAAATCACACATATTTTCATTTGCTTATATTTATGAAAGGATCAGTTGAAACAAATTTTAATAATTATCCTTGAAAATGTCTATATAAACTAGTCTCTACTACTCTTCCTTGTTGATTTCTTTTGAGAAAGTGAATGAAATGAGATACCTTATTGTGTAAAAACAAATCCAATATGAGTATTTTCAAATTTGCCCAAGGAACTACAGAGCAAATCCTGACTTGGTACACTTCTGTCTGTTCCTCTCGGAGTAATAAAGAACTCCCTTTGCAACTGACAAGTTCTTAGATGTTAAATGGCCACTTTATCTGGCCTATGGCATCCAACAAGCCTGTTTATTAAATGCAGCTCTTTTTCACATGTACATAAGAGGCTCAAAAGACAGAGGAAGAGGCTTGGAACCAGACACAGGGCTATCAAATAAATGACCTGGACGGAGATCTATCACTACTTGTCACCTTTCCTCTAGCAGGGGTGGGGAATCTTTTTTCTGCCAAGGGCCATTTGGATATTTATAACATCATTCATGGGCCATACAAAATTATCAACTTAAAAATTAGCCTGCTGCCCAGCTGCTGTGGCTCAGTGGTTGAGCGTCAACCCATGCACCAAGAGGTCGCCGGCTCGATTCCCATTCAGAGCATGTGCTCAGGTTGTGGGCCAAATCCCCAGTGGGGGGCATGCAGGAGGCGGCCAATCGATGTTCTTTCTCAGTGATGTTTTTCTCTCTCTCTCCCTTCCACTCCCTAAAATCAATAAAGAAAAATAAAATTAACTTGCTATATTTGGTCAGACTAATTTGGTGAGGCGTGGGATGTTAGTTGGTATTGATTTCACAGGCCTTATATGGCCCGTGGGCCAGACATTCCCCATCCCTGCATTTTTAGAATGTTGTATCTAAAACCAACAAACAGAAAAACATGTTGTTTCCTCTCTTCAATGTGTGACTGTATGAGGCAGGTCAAACTCTATTTTCAGAAATATCAGTTGTAAACCACACAGGAAGCTTCAGAAATTAGTGACCATGCTAATGAAAGTGTGGCTAACAACCACAGGCTTCTTTTCCAGTTTGATCATTCATTGACCATTAACATCCCTGCATTGAAACCAAAGTTGCTGATGATGAGTGGATAGGTTAATGCTTTCTCCAAAGAACAATAAAATGTGATGAAACCACCACCATAATTTCATTAAGTGCAACAGGAGTTTATTTTTTATTTCTATAGAAAACACAAAGAATTTATTAAAAATGCCCAATGGAACAAAGATTATAATCTTCAGTGACTAGAAAAAAATCTTGCTGCTACTACCCTTCCCTGGTAAAGACAGATAAGTAAAGTAGTTCCTATTCTTGTGCTGTTTTATATAGCAGTTCAATAAACAGAACCTAAAAGGGGATGACTATAAAACACTAAAGCCTTATCCTTGTCTTCCATTCACTATGTGGCTTCTCCCTCTGACTTCAGATAGAAAGTTCTGAGGAAAGGAAAAGGGGCCAAAAGAAAATAGCCCTGGCCGGTTTGGCTCAGCGGTTAGAGCTTCGGCCTGCGGTCCAGAGGGACCCGGGTTTGGTTCCCGCTGAGGGCACATACACCTCAGTTGCAGTTTGTCCTCGGCCCTGGTTGGCTCGTGTGGGTGGCAACCACTCAATGTGTCCCCTTCACGTCGATGTTTTTCTCTCTCTCTCTCTCTCTCTCTCTCTCCCTCCCACTCTATCTGAACAAAATATTGAAAAATGTCCTCAGGTGAGGATTAAAAAAAACAAACAAACAAAAAAATTCAATACTCTGATAGTCTATCCTTCGGTGCTGCTGCTATTTCTAAGGAAGAGTGAAGACTAGGTGGGATAATGAAATCAAAAGCAAAACAGAAATACAAGGAAGGAAAACGAGAAAAGAAGGTATGTTCATTGGACTTAGCTTCACAAATAAAAGGGAAATTTCATTTCACAGTTTAACAAATTCTAATTCTCATCACACAGCGAGACAAGGCTTGCCTAAGATCCCTGTTCTCATTTTGTGCTCTAGGCAAGTTTACTCTTCACTACTCATTATCCCTCAATTCCAGCCCAAGTAAGAATATGAAGACTGGCACCGTAAGAGCAAGGGTCGTGCTTCTATATATGCAGTACTCTACCGCCATGAAAAAAATTTGTTACCAAAAAAAAAGTATCCCTTTGCTATTAGTTTGTAAGAGTTTGGGAAACTGAGAAATAATTTAAATAGATTGAACAGATTCATAAAAACTCCCTAGTTTAAAATTCTGCCAAAAACAAGTAAACTTAAAAAAACTGTACTTGTTATTCCCCACCCAAAGAATCTCACCTATCAATCTCTTCAAGTTTTTCATCTATAATTGGACCCATCTGTTGGCAGATATCTGTAAATACAAAAATATTTTAAAATCTTTAAACTTAAACCAGTTTAAGAAAATTTCAACAATTTTTAACAGAGCACCACTATGCAAAAACATGCATAATACAAAGAGAATTAAGTTTTTGCTAGCAAAAGAACTATAAAAACCTAATTTTAATACTATTTAGCACCAATATTAATAGCATGTGACCAAAGGCAGAGTAAAAAAAATAGAAATTCCACTGTGTTCTCTGAAAATACTAGTTTTACAGACTAAAATTTGGAGTTAATCTCAAAATCTTAAAAATACCTAGGAAACTATTATTAGCTAAGTAAAATGAATTTGAGTCAGTGTATAAAATATGTAATTATGTACAGATGAGATATTAACACTTTTCAGTTATTTAAGCCATTTCAAAATTAAACGTGTATTTCCAAATGTAAACAGTGATACAATAAACACCATGATATTCCACATTCATACTACTAAACTTTCTTCTGTTAAAAGATTTAAGAAGATCTATCCATTTATCATAGATTTTTTTCCCCAAAGGATTATTTTAAAGGCATAAAAACATTTGTTCTGTCAAATTTCTTGAGGACTAAAAAGACATCAGTATGCATCAAATGACTATATTATGAAGTTAACATAGATCACGTGTAACTCTGAACTTTAAAATTATGACACGAGAGAATTAAAACGGGAATAAGAATTTCTAACATTTTGACTCAATTAATTTAACAGGCTGTTATTTCTTATTCTGTCCTTTTTACGACTGCAAATCTTTCAGCCAATTTCATTAGTGGGCTTACAGGATAGGCAGGTTTATAACTATTTCCAAGTAATATGTTTACTATATAATTATACTATTCTGCTTCCTACCAGAGATTTCTAATCTCTACCAGCAAACACAAAGCAGAAGAAATTTAAGATGTTAAAAACCACTAAAGCATGAAAGGACATTAAAGTAATCCCGAATATTCACTAAGTACCTTCTAAGTCCAAGAGGTCTTGGGAGTCTGGCTTGGAATCGGCTGGATCTATGCTCTGGAGGACCTGCAGGGCTCTATCCATCTTACCCTAAAAAATAACAGGATACTTTAAAAACTCATTAGAGTTTTTATTTCAATAAATATAGAAATTACTATTTCCAGGTATTTTCAAGGACAATACAGTTTAAAAGTCTTGATAATTTAAGTATTAAACAAAAGAAGGACTCTACCTCATCTATATAAACAGGCTCAGGCTCTGATTTCTTAATTTCTTCCTCCTCATCATCAATTACATTCAATTTGTCCACAGCTGCTATGAAAACAAAGTAAACTTTAAGTTCTTCAACATTTACTTTGGTATTTTAGTTGCTAATAATTATCTGTAGAAAAATAAAGGAAACCCTTTATTTACTTATTTTATTTTTTTGTTAATCCTCACCAAGGATATTTTTTTCATTGATTTTGAGACAGAGTAGAAGGGAGGGAGGGGAAAAGAGAGAGAAACATCAATGTGAGAGAGACACGTTGACTGGTTGCCTCCTGCATGACCCCAACTGGGCCAGGCATCGAACCTGCAACCCAGGTACATGCCCATGACTAGGAATCAAACCCATGACCCTTCAGTCTGCAGGCTAATGCTCCAACCACAGAGCCAAACCAGCCAGGGCAAAAAAAAGGACACCTCCCCCCTTTTTCTTTTAATGTCTTTATTGATTTTTTTTAGAGAGGAAGGGACAGAGATAGAAACATTGATGTGAAAGAGAAACATAGAGCGGCTGCCTCCTACACACCCCCCCACTGGGGATCAAGCCCGCAACTTGGGCATATGCCCCGACTGGGAATTGAACTGGAACCTTTCAATCCATGGGATGACGCTCAATTCGCTGAGCCATACTGGCCAGGCAAAAAGAAAACCCTTTAAATAGTATAGTCATCAAATCTCATAATCAACATACAAATATTTATTTTGCCCTTACTATGTGCCAGGCATTGTTCTAGGCACTGGAACTACACCAGTGAGTAAAACAGACAACAATATCTACCCTGATGGCACTTATATTCTAGTAGAACAAGCAAGCAATATTAATGGGAACTGTCATTACAGGCATTTTCAGGAAAACAAGTATTACCACTAGAGTGAATAAATACAGAAGAGAGTAGGGTTTTATTTAGTTAGCTAATTTCAGTTAAATCTATGAGCTCCTTCTATACTCTTTTCTTTTTTTTTTTTTAATCCTCATCCGAGGGCATTTTTTCATTTTTTGTACAGACACAGTGGGAGGGAGAGAGAGGAAGAAAGAGAGAAGGAAACATCGATGTGAAAGGGACACATCGAGTGGCTGCCACCCGCACGACCAACCAGGGCCGGGGACAAACTGCAACCGAGGTACATGCCCTTAGCGGGAACCAAACCCGGGTCTCTCCGGACCGCAGGCCAACGCTCTAACCGCTGAGCCAAACCGGCCAGGGCTATACTCTTTTCTTGCTATAAAAAAGTATTTCCTGTATGAACAAAAATAAACTTGACTACAACCTAATTTTAATAATAATCAAAGCAACACACAACAAAAAAACTTTTCATGTAGAGAAGGTTGAAAAATAATTTACACATGTATATACCCCAATACTATTTAAATATTAAATGAAAGACTGCTATAATGTATTATATTTTAATAAAGTAAATTTTGAGAAAAGTAAAATTATAATAAAACTCTATATATAACCAAAGAATCTTTAAGTCCCCACAGTTAGCCATTTATATCAAATATCTGGCTAACTTTCAAATATGTCCTAAGGAGCAGAGTTTGGCATAACATGAAAATATACTAAAAACCCAGAATACTTTTTCTTTTAAAACTACAGGTCAATCTCTCCAGCCTATGCCAAGGGGAAACTGCTGTATCAGATACCCTCAGCATGGTCTATTAAGTTACTAAAAATGGTGTCTCCAATTTCATGCCAGTTTAGAAAGTCAGACCAGAGAAATAAAAAGTATAAATAGTGGCAAAATACTTGGCATTCAAATGAGTATTCACCTCCCTCAGCTTCATTTTTTAAAAAAATCTTTACCTGAGGATAATTTTTCCATTTATCTTGAGATGGGGGGGGAGGGGACGACATCAACGTGAGAGAGAGACATCAATTGGCTGTCTCCCACATGACCTCAGACTGAACTGTAACCGAGGTACATGCCCTTAACGGGAATCAAACCCGTAACTCTTTGGTTCATGGGCCAATGCTCCAACCACTGAGCCAAACCAGCCAGGGCTCCCTCAACTTCATTTTAACTGAATGGATCACTTCACCATACAAAGAGGATGTTCTATAGCAATGATCTTCAACCGGTGTACCGTGAGAATTTTAGCAATCAGTTTACGTGTGCCATAAGATGAAAAAGGTTGAAAATCGCTGTTATATACAATGCACAGAGCTTTCAATTTATATTCTTTAGAACTGGAAAGGCTTAGCACTGACATGTCCTGCAATGAGTCAGTATAAGGACAGACTGTCTGACTTTAGAATCACGGTCTATCACCTTCTATCACATAAACCCTCAGCCTCAGATTCCTTATCTGTAAAATGGTGTAACACAAAGTACCTATCTCACAGACGTGTGAGGATTAAATAAAATAGTGTAAGCAAAGGACTTAGCAAAATGCCTATACATGACTGCTCAACGCCACTGAGCTCTTTTCTTTCTGATCACTACCATCATTAGTATTATTATTAGCTGTTCTTTACACTCAGTTCCCCTCACCTCCCTGCCTGCATAACAAATGGAAGCTTTCTCTGTAAAGTTGACAGCAGCTGAGGGGAACTGTTTGTGGCTACGAATCTGAGTGAGGGAACCTACTATCTTGATTACATTACTTTATTATTATTATCTGGAGTGGCCTAGGATCAAAACAAGGCAGGGAAAAATCTCTCCTAACCTCTGTAATCACGCTTGGCACTTGTCCACCAGCACCTAGCTGCACTGCCCCTCCTTTGGTATACTGTGGTTCAGTGATGAGTAAAACCAGTCTTCTTTGTATTGAACAGGCACAAACTGCCTCTTAAACCAATAATTAGGTTGCTTTAAATAGTTACATGGTCACAGATTATTTTATGCATTATATGTCACTATGTATGGTAACTCTCTCCAAAAATCAATGAAAAAATATACTTGGGTGAGGATTAACACACTGTGTACCGCATAGAAATCTCTAAGACATACACCAGGGACCGACCGCACGTTTTTGGGCAAACTGCATGTTAGGTTCTGAGCTGCACTCATTTGAACCAGCAAATACCCATTCCCTAGCTACTTCAAGCATATAGAACGGTGTGCTGTTTTTCAAACTTTGACGCTAAGGGCGAAGAGTCACAGATACAATAATCCTATATTACCCTGAGGTTCAAAAACTGAAATAGCTAATGCAAGTGCAAACCCGAGTTAACTCGTGCGTGGTCTGCAATGTTTGGGCAGGAAAACACGAGTTAACTCGTGAGCGGTCAAAAATGTGTTAACAAGAACAACAACAAAATATATCATGATAAGGAAATAATTCTTATAATTGACCTGGATAAATTAACCCCTTAATTTGGAAAGATGTAGGTTAAACTGTATTGCCTATAAGTGTTTTAAAACAAGAGTTAAATGCCAATTTACTTTTTATTCAAAAGTAAACCAAAAAATTCAAGTGCAAAAAACTTGAATAATCTTAACCTTCCCTGAGATTTAACTTACCTGCCTCAGACTCCATGTTTAAATTAGTTGTTACAAAATTAGATGGAAAGAGTCCTATTCCTCTGTGATTTTCTCCTTTCCACCAGTTGGCGTCACTGAAAATACAATTCAAAAATGTTATTTGTTTCCTATACATTATAGTGTATTTGTGTCAAGATGAATTATAATAAAATTAAATTTAGCCTACTTTGAAAACTACTGGTTCATATCCAACTATATTAAAAGTAGTTCTTAGATTTAGTAAAAGATATAGAAAAGCACAAATAAAACAAATCCTCCCATACTTACATTTAGAACTAATGAGCAATTGTTCACATTTAATTCTAGGCTTTTAAAATAAAAAAAATTATAGATAACACTACAGTCTCCTTTATCAACAACCTCACATCTCTCCCACTACACCACCACCACAAAGCCGGTAGGTTGCCTTCCTGCCAGTGTATTTTTTATTAGTTTAAAAATATCTTTAAGTCAACTCTATAGATATAGATGTTATTCATTACAGACCTTTTAATTTTATGTTAATTCTTTCAGATTTTTTTATTCAATGTTTATCCTTTTTAAATCAAAGTCCTATCACACAATTATGGCATATTTGATTTATCCATTCCCATATAGAAGGACATTTAGGAATTTCCATTCTTTCATCATTATAAAGATTAGGGTAATGATCACTCTAGATTCTGGGGCACACATGCAACAATCCTGTAGGCCAGTGGCTCTCAACCTTCCTAATGCCGTGACCCCTTAATACAGTTCCTCAAGTTGTGGTGACCCCCAACCATAAAATTACTTTCATTTCTACTTCATAACTGTAATTTTGCTACTGTTATGAATCGCCATTGGAAATATGTGTTTTCCGATGGTCTTAGGTGACTCCTGTGAAAGGGTTGTTCGACCCACAAAAAGGTCACGACCCACAGGTTGAGAACTGCTGCTCTAGGCTTATGCACACACATGGACCAGGTGAACCACAGAATACAAGCATTTCCCATTTTACTAGATATTACCACACATTTCCTAAAGGGGTTACGGCAATTCACCATCCTCTTTCCCTGAGCAGCATGAGAATGTCATTTCCCCTCATACATGTTAACTGTCCAAGCAACACTTGATATCATTCGGAACAGAAATCATATCTGCTGTGCTCATTTGCACTTCCTGCGTTCCCACGTGTGTCTGCTGGCCTTTCAGATTGTCTCATCTATAAACTGCTTGTTCAGGTCTTCTGTCCATTATTTTCCCCACTAGGTCTTTTGTCTTGTTCATGAATCTGTAAGGGTTTTTTTCCGTATTCTGGATAACAATTGTTTGTCTAAAGTTCATTATGAAAATACCTTCTCTCAAACTGTCACTTGTTTTTCAACACATATTTATCGTTTTATTCCACAGTGTTTTTTGTTCCATGTTACCAAATTTTAACAATTTTTTATGGCATATACAGTGATACCTCGGTTCTCGAACGCCTCGGTTTTCGACCAAATCAGTATTCGACCAGGAGATTCGAGAAACTTTTGTCTCGGAATCCGAACAAATATTTGGAACTCGAACTTCCGAGATGAGCCGAGTTGAGCCGAATGGCGTTCATTCGGCCCAGCGCGCCTTGCTGCGTCATCAGTGTGAGTGCAGAGAGAGAGTCACGCTTTGTGGAGAGAGTCACGCTTTACACTGAATTTAACCCTTAGACATACTGTACACTTTTATTTCTTGTTGAGACTTATGTTTTTCTACATATTATATACAAATTAGGCCAGTAAATAGGCATTTTCTGGGGCTTGGAACGAATTAATCCAGTTTCCATTATTTCCTATTGGGTTTCATTGCTTCGGTTCTCGAACAATTTGGTTCTCGACCGTCCTCCTGGAGAGGTATCACTGTGTGTGTGTGTGTGTGTGTGTGTGTGTGTGTATTTTTTTTATCCTCATCCAGGGACACTTTTCCATTTTTTGTTCAGGTAGAGTGGGAGGGAGAGAGGGGGGGGGAGAGGGGGGGGGAGAGAGAGAGAGAGAAACATTGATGTGAAAGGGACACATCGAGTGGCTGCCACCCGTATGACCAACCAGGGCTGGGGACAAGCTGCAACCTAGGTACGTGCCCTTAGTGGGAACCAAACCCGGGTCTCTCTGGACCGCAGGCTGACGCTCTAACCACTGAGCCAAACCGGACAGGGCTATGGCTTATATTTTAAAGAACTCTTTATCCTTGAATTCCTAAATCTCTTCTATATACTTATATTTAATAGTTTTAGTTTTCTCTTTTATCCCTCTCCCATGTTTAGGTCTTTAATTCATCTGGAATGAAATTTTATATACTGTGTGAAGCTGAATCAAATTTTATTTGCATCATAGAAAGAGCCATTCAACCCAGAAAAATTTACTGAATGCTGTATCTTTAAAAAAAGATTTATGATATCTTTCAAACAGCAAGCTGCTATCTGTTCATGAGCCTAATACTGGATTCCACTGTTGTAATAGTCTATATATTTATTTACAACAGCTTATTAATATGCCTTGATAACTGGCAGGGAAAGAGCCTTCTCTGTCATTAGACACCTTCACATTTCTACATTATTAAAATGGCCCTGGCCGGTTTGGCTCAGCAGTTAGAGCATCAGCCCGTGGACCGGAGAGTCCTGGGTTCAGTTACCGCTAAGGGCATGTACCTTGGTTGCAGCTTGTCCCCGGCCCCGGTTGGGGTTGTGTGGGTGGCAACCAGTCGATGTGTCTCTCTCACATCGATGTTTCTCTCTCTCTCCTCCCCTCTCTCTCTCTCCTGCTCTATCCGAAGATGAATGCAAAAAATGTCCTTGGGTAAGGATATTAAAAAAAAAAGTTCTATTGAGATTTTAATTGAAAATGCACTGAATTTATGCATTCATATGGAGAAAATCTAAAATATTAAGGTTTATTCACCATGAACCCAGTATCTCCCTTCATTTATATTCATATAAATATGTCATGTATTTATACTTCTCACGTTTCAAAATTTTATATAATTGTCTCCCTAAAGGCCTTATAAATCCTTATTAGGTTTATTTATTCCTAGAACATTTATCATTTTTGTTACTATTGAGAATAGAATTTTTTTCTATTACATTTTCTAATAGTTGTGATTACAGTAAAGCATAACACTGATTTTATATGTTGAACTTGTATCCAACAACCTTGATGAACTCTTACCAGTTTTAATAGTTTGTCCACTGAGTCTCTTGGACCTTCTATATGGACAATCATAAAATCTGAAAATAATGGTTAAGTTTATCTATTCCTTTCCAAAAATTTAACTTATTGAGCAGGCATTCTAAAAGATGAAACTTAAGGATACAATTAATTTACATGGTTCTGAAACATTATTTCATTTAAAAAGTACAACAAAGAGAATTTACTAACTCATAATTCACATGCTGGTGGCTCATGTTCCTGAGTGGAAATAATGCTAGCCAATCAGATCACAGATTTCTTTCTCCATGAAGGTTTTGCTTATTGTGAATGACATGTGAGACAACGTCTTTGTTTAATTTTAGGGGGTGTACTGGTGCTTTGATTTTAATAAATATTAGCTTCTATGTAAAAAATAAATAAAAAAGTACCACAAAGAAACAAAAGAATTGTATATCACCCACATTCTTAACATCAGAAAATAGCTGACATACTGACAGTTCTGAGGTATCATATCTGCTGATATCCATATACGGATGGAAAATTCTCCCTCTTATTCTCACTTACTTTCTTAAATAGAACTTTCCATTTTAAAAAGGAAAGCTGAACTTGGAGGAATTTTACATAAAACCAGAGAACCCAAACCTGTGTAGCTGATGCATAGATTTTACTTGCACCTGTCAACAGTGTTTTATGTAGCCTCCGAACCACTGCTGCAATCTCCTTGATGAAGTATAAAAGTAGGCAAGACAAACAATTGCCATGTCGAAGCATGATGACTCCTTCCCAGCCCTAATCCAGCTCTGTATTCTCTCCACTGGCAAGGTGATCTGTTTAATGGTACACAATATTGTTCAATTTTAAAATTCCTAAATTAAGGTAATTTGGCACTGTAGTTTTGTTTTTGTTTTTTTTTTAATCCTCACCCGAGGATATTTTTCCATTTTTTGTACAGATAAAGTGGGAGGGAGAGAGAGGAAGGGGGAGAGAGAGAGAAACATCGACGTGAAGGGACACATCAAGTGGCTGCCACCCGCACAACCAAACAGGGCCAGGGACAAACTGCAACCAAAGTACGTGCCCTTAGTGGGAACCGAACCCGGGTCTCTTTGGACCGCAGGCCGACGCTCTAACCGCTGAGCCAAACTGGCCAGGGCAGCACTGTAGTTTTACATAAACCATTTGATAATTAAGAAAAATTTTATTGCAGCATTCATATTTCCAGATTTTTATGTTAAGAGAGTAAGTCACAGCTGAGTGAAAAATGATGCAAGTGTAAAAGACAAACTTTACCTTCAATAAACTGATTATTCAGCCAACATTTAGGAAAGCCCACCAAGGAAGGGGTAGTGACATTGGGATATACACTAAAGTTATAAAGGTAATTAAGAAAGAAAGAAGAAACATTTTCTGCCCTGAAAAAATTTAAAATCTAGTACAGTATTTTTCAACCCTCCCCTACCAACTAAGAACATGTCACCTTGTGTTACCTTCTGAGGTTTGTTTTCTCCTTCCCCCTTCCTCCCACCCAGGGAAGTGCTGACCTTCTTCAGAATCAACTCATCTAGCAGGAGAGACGTATGTGAAGAAGTAATCACAATATGGTATGAGAAATGCTATCACTTTTATTCAGGAAGCCATCCCAGCACCAAGATGGAACTCCTAACTTACAGATGAAGGCAGAGAAGAGTTTAAAGGCTTCTCAGAGGATATAACATTTGACAGGTTTTGAAGGTTAAGTAGGCACTCACCAGGAGGAAAAAGGAAATGAGGGCTCTGGAAAAAAATGCCTTTCTCCATTATAAATAAGCAAGAAAATAAAAGTACAAAGAAATAAAATACTTTGCACACTAAGGTAAGCAAAAAACAAAGTCATCTTGTCTCATTTTAGGTCTCAATAAAAAAGAAAACCTAACCTCTCCTTTAAGCTACTGACTCCTTAAGTAAAACAACTTATTTGCTGGCTTTTACAAATGACAATGGCTGGAGGTAAGTGATGCCCTTTATGGATATGATAATCATGTGAGGAAAGTGCTATTTCTACCACAAACATACAAATAATAAATCTGGAAACTTGGTAATCTTGTGGGGGTGTTTTCTTAAAATTACCTATTTTTTAATTTGGGGAACCAGTCCTTCTAAAGCCTAGACTCCCTTGTAAACCTTCCTTGCAAGTCAAGTTCCTTTTCTTTTCTAAATGTGTTTGCTTCTTTTGACAGGGCTTTCCAGGCGGAGAGAACCAAATGTACATTGCCACAAAAGTCTAATCACAACATGGCATTTTTGGAACTGCAAGAATTCTACTTAATTATTTGAAATGGTATGTACAGAACAAACAAGGAGTGGTGAGATGAAGCTAAAAATGGAGAAAGCAAAAGCTTTTTGGTATACTGTTAATAAGAAATGTGTACCTTTCTATTAGCTCCATGTTTCTTACACTGAAGTCCAAGAATGCTGTATTTTCAAGGTACTTTTTCAAGTTCTACATGTGACATTTTTAATTTTATACTTTCATTTCCATAGCAATAGAAATACAATAAATATAGTCATACTCTGGATCATCTAGATGACCTCTTTATTTTGTTAAAATATGTTTTTATTGATATTGTTAGAGAGAGAGGAAGAGAGAGAGATAGAAACATCGATATGAGAGAGAAACATTGATGGGCTGCCTCCACACACTCCCCACTGGGGATCAAGCTCACAACCTGGGCATGTGCCCTGACCAGGAATTGAATCGGGACCTCTCAGTCCATGGGACAATGCTCAATCCACTGAGCCACACCAGCTGGGCCTAGATGACTTCCTTTTAACCTAAGATGGCCACTTAACTTTAGTAACCAATCTTGCAGTGATGCCCTGGCCGGTCTAGCTCAGTGGTTCGAGTATCTGCCCTCAGCCTGAAGGGTTGCAGGTTCCATTCCCAGTCAAGAGCACAACCTCAGTTGCAGGTTAGAATCCCAGCCCCAGTCAGGTCCTACGGGAGGCAACCAATTGATGTCTCTCTCTCATGTCTGAAAAATCAATGGAAAAATATCCTTGGCTGAAGATTAACAACAAAAAACTCAGGCAGTGATAATCAATCACCCTGAATGACAACATTTAACCTATACATATTAATGAGCATGTCTATGGCAATTTTAAGACTGGAGTATCCTACCTTCAAAATGAGGGCAATCAACTTACACATTCCATCAAACTCATGTTGAATTAGCTTAGCAGTTAGAAAGAAAAAAGTTCTTTTTTACAGTGGTAAATCTCAACTGAAAATAGTTTTGTATGAGTCTAAGTTAATTAATGAATTTGTGCTTTAATAAGACATCAGTGAAAATAACACTGCAGCACAATGACATAACCTTTTACTCAGTGCTAGCCTGTAGACTAATAGTAAGAATATAATGCTGCACAAACACCACATGACGTCAAGGGATAGAATATATAAGGATTCACAGTTACACAAGGAAAACTCAGAGATTCAGTTATCACCGCACAAGGTAATCCCGATGTGCTGGAGATAGCAAGGAAGTACCTGTGCCACTGATCAGTACTTTATGTACCTTGTGAGCAGCAATTTTAGAAAATTTTCTTATTACATAAAAGTAATGCTCAAAATTTGAATGTCAGAGCAAAAACTACTTCCTTGTAGATGTTTATGTTATAAATGTCATTAATTTTACAGTTGTAGAAGAGTATCAGAAGTGTAAACCTAAGTTATTTTGTAAATACTCTAACTAAAACGAAACTCAGAAGCTTGACTCTTCACACTGTCAATGTTCAGAGCCCACACTATCTGTTCACCTTCATATCTATTTACTCTCCTTCAAGGATCATGTGTTCCATTCCAAATGGTTATTTTTAAAAAAGGAAAATATTTCTGTGAACATAAGTGTTATCCTGACTGCCTAAAAGATCTTTGTTTTCCTATTCTCAGTTATTGCAAATGTTTTCCTGTCCTGACAAAATCAATCCAAGTTCACCTGCAATGGACCCTGGGTAAATTTTCTTTCCCTGATGCTTGCACCACATGCAAATCTGCTCAATTCTGGGCCTCAACATTATCTTTTTTATGGCATTTACATTCTGCATTCCATACAAGTACCTGTATAGTACTTTTAACTCTCTTACTTTATTCTAGGTTTTAGAAGACAGACTGTGTCCTCATTTTTTTATTATAAACAGAGCCTATTAATAACAGTTTCTCAATATTTACTGCAGCATAGTAAAACCATTTTTTGTGTATTTATCCATTTAAAAATACACTAGACTAACATATCCTTAACTAGGCTATTTACTATAGACACCAAATTCATTTGCAATCTCTGTTCATAGCAACAAGCTGCTAGGTCTCGCTCTTGTTAAATCTCACTAACTACTTAGAATTAGGCCCAATATAGATAGATCTAGTTTTTATTACAACTTTAAATGATAGAGAAGGTGTGAGGGAGAAGTGAGTAACAAGAATTAGGGAGGGGCCCTGGTCGCTTTGGCTCAGCAGTTAGAGCGTCCACCTGCGGTCCAGAGAGACCCGGGTTCGGTTCCCGCTAAGGGCATGTACCTCGGTTGCAGTTTGTCCCCGGCCCTGGTCGGTCATGCGTGTGGCAGCCACTCGATGTGTCCCTTTCACATCGATGTTTCCCTCTCTCTCTCTTCCTCTCTCTCCCTCCCACTCTGTCTGTACAAAAAATCGAAAAATGTCCTCGGATGAGGATTAAAAAAAAAAAAAAAAAAAAAATTAGGGAGGAGCTGAGCATAGCTTTCAGGCTTTGACCAAAGGTGGCATGTCTTCCTAAAATTTATTTGCTAGTAATTTGGTATACAAAATTCCCAATGTAAATGTATTCAGATGAATGAATATTTATGTTTCCCAACAGTAACAATCAACAATATCATTTAATACACCTTTTATCCAAGATATAAAGTAAAACCAAATTTAACAAAACAACAAGAAAATTGTATTACCTAGTCTAATTTTTGTTAGTTTTACTTTAGGAAAAACAATTAAAATATGAACAGGTCCTATGATACACCAAAGTCAAAGGGGTGGGTATCCAGGTTCTCAAGTAAGGACATGATCCTTAACTTCAAAATATTCCAGAAATAGCCCTGGCCGGTTTGGCTCAGCGGTTAGAGCGTCGGCCTGCGGTCCTGAGAGACCCGGGTTCGGTTCCCGCTAAGGGCATGTACCTCGGTTGCAGTTTGTCCCCGGCCCTGGTTGGGTTGTGCGGGTGGCAGCCACTCGATGTGTTCCTTTCACGTCGATGTTTCTCTCTCTCTCTCTCTCTGTTCCTCTCCCTCCCTCCCACTCTACTTGAACAAAAAATGGAAAAATGTCCTCGGGTGAGGGTTAAAAAAAAAAAAAAAAAATTCCAGAAATAAAGACTTAAAACATACCTGTCATCCAAAACAATAAGAATTTCACCATGTTTAAAGGTGAGTTCATTGTCCTCAACGGCTTCAAAATCATATAAAGCTCTCACTTTCCTTGCAACTTTATTATTTAACTGAACTTCTGCAGATGGATATAAGGATTTTGTTTCTGTGTGCTGCTGCTTCTGTTCTTGCAACGACAATTCAATAGCTAGTTTGAAAATTAAAATACAAAAGAAAGATAGCCAGAATTAATTCTGATTTTTTAAGTTTAAAAAGAAATATTAGTTAATGTAGTATTTACTAATAAATCAAGTGAATATTTTATTTGTCCAATTGAACACTAAGCAGAGAGAATCATGACATTTAAAAAAATTAATTTTTCACTCATTCTTGATTATAACAGTTTGTAGTATACAGCAGCTATTATTTTTATAGCAAACAGATTGTGACATTATATAATGGGTAGCTTTCCATATAGGACAAACCATGAATATATATTTTTATGTTTGACTCATAACTTTAGCATTAAAGAAAAGGTGAAATGTAAGCTCTGCAAAGGTAGGACATTATATACATATTACTAACAAAGATAATGAATTAATCTTATGATCATGTCAATTGTTTTCCTTTTCAGACCCTATTAATGTTTAGATTTGAGGTAAAATACTAAAAGTATACCCAGTTTTATTATAATTTTTATTTAATAAGTTGTTCTGGATAGGATGTTTCCAGTAACACTAAATTACACATTTGATGGTTTACCTTTAGCTATGTCTTCTTCTTCTTTGTTTTTGTTTGATGATGTACCATTCTTGGCAGCAACTGAGACAGTCTGTAAATATACAAGTAAAATAAACACAACTACCCTTTCAAAGAAAACATAAGCTGTATAATTACTCACACATGCTAATTTAAAATAAAACTGATATTAACTAATGAGTTTCATTTAAAAGTGAAGTTCTTTATGATAATTTTAAGTAGTTGTTTTCAAATACTAAAATAAAACAGAATTTTCAAGAAAACATTATAAACTTGAAAAGGACATGAGCTGGCTTATATATTGCATAAATCTTATATCTGAAACAGAACTTGGCATATAGAAAGTACTTAAATAAGCATCTTTCCTGATTGCACTCCCTGATATAAACGGTTCAAGGTGTCTTAGAGAGATGTGCTATATCACCACGGGCATAGAGCTACTGGAGAAGTGGCAGCAAGAAGCCACGAAAACTACCGAGGAGGAGGGAGGACAAAGACAAGGGGTGCAGTTCTGGGAATGTATGTTAAGCCCTCTTTTACTACTCAGTGTGTCTGAAAGGTGCAGGCTCTTTGGGCGTAGTAGAGGGCTGAGGAAGGTCATGCTTAAATTTGAAAGACATGGAAGACAGAGATGTCCAGGAGTCTGAATTATCAACCAGTTCTTTAACACAGATTTTTGAGAATGACATGTAGAAAGGGGAGGGTAGGAAAATGCTTGCTTTTTGTCACTTATAAGACTTTTGTCCCAAAAATCTACCTTGAATCCTTAGGCCTGGTCAGCTATAAAGATTCTTTTTGTCTCTTCAGTCTAGTCTACAATAAAATAAATATATATACGTATATGTGTGTGTGTGTATATATATATATGGTCCTCTTCTTAGTCTCTTTCCTTAGCCCACATAACAATATTAATTGGTGGGCAAGAGGCGCTGAGGAAAAAACCCAAGATACAATGTTTCTCTCCCACAGACCCAAATAAACAGTCCACTCAATGACTCAGTATCCCTGCCTCCTCTCTTGTCCTACTAATGCAATCCCCTATCTCCCCAAATAAATTTCTAGTCATACAGCTCTACCCATCTTATATATAAAGTATTCCCTCCAGGCATATTCATTCTTCAACAAACAGGTCTTGAACTTTCTCTATATCTTGAATACATTACAGTAAAAAAATGCTACCTCTTCACCTTCACCAGCCTAGTCCGTAGTTACCCCTCTCTCCTGGCATATTGTCTTTGTACCCCTCATTAATATTTGCCACTTATAATTTAGTAATTTTTTACATGTATATAGCTACCCTTCTCTGTCATTCATCTGTACCTTTTACATGACTCCAGAGGAGCGTTAAACAGATTCTTTATGGCTGAGTCACTTCCCAAAGTTCTATATGTAGAAGAAATTCACTAAAATTAGAACACTTACTAATTATAAGGCACTATGCTAGAGGTACTTGGAGAGTGGAGGTGGGTGGAACTTGCCCAGATTTTACATAAGATCCATACCCTCAAAACAGTATAATAGGTCAACAATGGGTTTAAATGAATATCTTACTTGAGAACCTGCTGGAGGAAAAGTAATTCCTTCTTCTTTCATAGATTTAATAGTTGCAGATATTAGGCTAAACTGAGGATCCTTTTGAAATTCTTCTGACCACTCCACCATTAAAGATTTCAGTTTTTCACATACTTTAGGATGAGCCTTTTAAAGAAAAGGCAAAAAAGAAAACTGTGGTTAAAATTAGTACTTGAATTATTTAACAACATAGAGAATTAGCATCAACATTTTCTTCAATCATATGAACATCAACAAAAGTCCAGCAATCCCTAGCCTAGATGAGTATTTGATAAATGTCTATTTATATTTTAAGATATAGTTATTTCTTGCACAATTACCCTTTTTAAAACATCAATTTCTAAGTCTTACTGTAATGACAACAAGTCTTTTATATTCAGGGGGTATTTCTTCTATGTTTTCTTAAAATTAAGTTAAGCTTTTTATGTCAACTAAACTAAAATTCTGGGATTTCTGCCTCTAATAGCATAAGACTGGCGCTTCAGTTTCCATCTCAAAAAAATCAGTAACAACAACCCTACAGTGAAGACCCCTTCGTCCTGCTCTAAAATAAAGGCCTCCTTTTCTCTCCATCTCTATTGGGAATCAGTACAGAATGGTGGTTAGTTTGGACTCTGGAGCCACAGACACCTGCATTTGAATCTCAGCTATGCCACTTACTAGCTGGCATGACCTGGGACAAGTTACTTAACTTCTAAACTCACTTTCTGCATCTATAAAATAAGAATAACAAGAGAATTTCATTTCTAAGTGTTGTTAAGAGTACTGAACAAGAGAGTATATGTAAAATGCTTAAAGCAGTGACTAACTAATCATCAGTCAAGATTAGCTATTATGCCCTGGCCAGTTTGGCTCAGCGGTTAGAGTTTCAGCCTGTGGACCAGAGAGTCCCGGGTTCAGTTCCTGCTAAGGGCACATACCTCGGTTGTAGTTTGTCCCCTGCCCCAGTTGGGGTCATGTGGGTGGCAACCACTCAATGTGCCTCTTTCACATCGATGTTTCTCTCTCTCTCTTCCTCCTTCTCTCCCTTAAGAGCAAGCTATACAGTGTTAAAAGGTTTAACTATAAACAAGCATGAATGTACTTTGAAAAGCTGTAATGTTAAAATACTTTCTTCCGTCTTTTAAACTTCTAAAGTATAATCAGTTCAGCTTAATTGCTGCATCTTCTCCCAAAGTGCCCTTTTTTATATTTACTTTTTTCATATTATATTTATCTATTCATTACTGAAATACTTTTCAGCATAATTACCTATTACATTTCTCTATCTGAAGATACATGCAAAAAATGTCCTTGGGTGAGGATTAAAAAAAAAAAAAAAAATTAGCCATTATCACTAGCATATATGCTTTGGGGAGGAAAACAGTCTTTGGTGCTACAAATGAAAACACCAAATTTTAGAACAGGAAGTTTATTTCACTTCATATTTATCTAAAAAGAACTACATTTATAATACAACTTTATTAATGCTATATGTATATAATTAAAATATATAGAGTACAAATATTTTTTTTTAACTTAAATTTACTTTAAAAATTTACCTTATTTTTTATCACAGCACGTACTTCTGTTGCAAAATCACGGGAACATACTTCTAAATGAAATATCTTTCCACAGTTTGCCACACAAGCCCCAAGAAGCTATTAAAATAAAAATCAATATAAATATGTTGAGATATTAACTTACTAAAATAAATATACACTTAAAATTTTGATCAAATAACAACATGACTTTCACTTACAGTTAATGCCTGCAGAGCAACATGAGGGACCTTATGATTTACCCTTTTCATTATGGCTTTTAGGCAATCTCTTGCTCTAAGAAAAAAGTGAAGAAGGTTAAGTATTTATTCAGATTTCAAATCAAACATTAAAGACATGAGGTATACTACTACAAAATAACTTTAAACTTAAAAATAAAATCCTACAAACTTTATTTCATTACAGGAATAAATCTATAAAATGATTTTATATAGTCTTTTGTTCATAGACTTATAGAAGTTAAAAAACAAAAACAAAAAAGTTGTTAAAGGTTTCATATTCCAAAATCAAGAGCCAAATCACTTCAAAAAAGGTCAGTCAACACAAGATAACTGTATCATATTAAAAATATCTTTTCATTTGTTCAAGACAGACTTAGCTTTCATACAGCAAATTATGAAACATATTAAGAGCAAGCTATACAGTGTTAAAAGGTTTAAGTATAAACATGCATGAATGCACTTTGAAAAGCTGTAATGTTAAAACAAATGCTTTCTTCCGTCTTTTAAACTTCTAAAGTATAATCAGTTCAGCTTAATTGCTGCATCTTCTCCCAAAGTGCCCTTTTTTATATTCACTTTTTTCATGTTATTATATTTATCTATTCATTACTGAAATACTTTTCAGCATAATTACCTATTACATTTCTCTACTTCATTATTAAAAGGCTCCCCATACATGTCTAAGTTACAAGAGAATTTCCTAAACAACTGGTCTGTTCTTTGTTAATATGTATCTCTATATAGTGTCAACGTTTTATGTATTTTAATTTATCTCTGGTTTTCAGTTGAACTCTTTTCCATTTGTTGTTTCAGAATAAGGTTAATCCCATAAATCCTGCCAGTATGAGCTCTTTATTTTTAATCCCCCCAAAGTAAATACTGTAAAATCCCATTTCCTTTTCCATGTTACATCAAGACAAGAGACATAAGTTTATTGAGTCCTTAGTCATTTACTGAACATGACTGGGCATCTTACCCATTAGGAGTACTTCCAACTTTGTCACAAATGTCCATAATAAGACTCCAATCCTCTGTAGTGTTGTACTCATTTGTGGCTTTTTCTATAAGATATTAGCATACACAAAATATCAGGACATATCTTATGTAAACACAAAAATACCAAGAAAGGCACAGAAGCCCTATCTTTCCTTTTGCCAAATATAAAAGAACTACGAAAAACTTCATAAGATAGAGTACTTTTACTAATTTCAAATATGCCCTGCCAATGTGGCTCAGCAGTTAGAGCTTCCTGGGTTCAATTCCTGGTTAAGGGCACATACCTGGGCTGCAGGTTTGATCCCCAGCCCCAGTCAGGGTTGTACAGGAGGCAACCAAATGATGTGTCTCTTACAGCAATGTTTCCCTCTCTCTTTTTCACTCTCCCTCCCTCCGTCCCACTCTTTCTAAAAGTCAACACAAAAATATCTTTGGGTGAGTATTAACAACAAAAACAAAGTGAGTTAAATGTTCTATGGTACACCAATAAATGTCTTCTAAATATAGTTGATAAATAAATTACAAATTATCAAGAATCCTATCAAATTCTAATTTGAAAGAAAGCCTTAAAAAGGTGCCATCATACAAGGAAATAGGAATTAAACTATTCACTGAATCATTGCTTTTAAGAGCAAAAAGAAACATGGATTAATAAAATACAATAAATTCATACAATGAAATGTGAAAATGAGTTAGTTATACAGAACCAAATGTACAAAAATGTGTAAATCTCAAAATATAATAATTTGTTTAGGCTTATGCTGAGTTTAAAAAGCAAATAGGAGAATATATAACATTTACATAAACTTATTAAATAGCTTTATTGAAATATTCACATTCCAACAAAATTCACCCATTTGAAGTGTACAATTCAATGTTTTTAGTATAATTAGAAACTTATGCAACTATCACCACTAATTTTAGAACATTTTCATTACCCTAGAAAGAAATCCATTCCCAATGGCAGTCATAGTCCATTCTCCCCTCATCCTCTCCACCCTAGACAACCATTAATCTACTTTATGCCTCTATAGGTTCCCATTCTGGACTTTTCATATAAATAGAATCATGCAACATACAGTCGTGATTGGCTTCTTTTATTTAGTAAAATGTTTTCAAGGTTCACCCATGTTGAAGCATGTATCAGTACTTCATTTCTTTTTATTGCTGAATATTATTCCATTGCATAGATACAACTCATTTTATTTAGCCCCCAACTGATGAATATTTCAAGGTTTTTTGTTTACTTTTTGGTTAATATAAATAATGCAATGCTGGTATGAACACCGGTGTACAAATTTTTGTGTGAAAGTATGCTTTCATACCTCTTTGGAATATACCTAGGAGAATCGCTGAGTCTCACAGTAACTAATTTTTTTTAGGATCTGGCAGTTTTCCAAAGCATCTGTACCATTTTACATTCCCACCAGCAATGTGAGTGTTTCAAATAAAGTTTTAAAACACTCAAAAAATTCACTACATTGCCCTGGCTGGTGTGGCTCAGTTAGTTGGGTGTCACTGATCCCCCGCATTTTGCAGGAGGAATCAGATCAATGTATCTATCTCACATCAATGTTTCTCTCTCTCTTCCCCTCTCCCTTCCTCTAACAATCACTAAAACATCTTTTAAAAAAATACACTATATACATATTTTTTTATCCTCACGGGAGGACATTTTTTGGTACTTTGTTAAGATAGAGTGGGAGGGGGAGAGAGAGAGAAACATTGACGTGAAAGACAGAGTGGGGGCGAGGGGGGAGAGAGAGAGTGAAATATCGCCGTGAAAGGGACACATCGAGTGGCTGCCACCCACACGATCCAACCAGGGCTGGGGACAAACTGCAACCGAGGTACGTGCCCTTAGCGGGAACTGAACCCGGGTCTCTCTGGACCGCAGGCCAACACTCTAACCGCTGAGCCAAACCGGCCAGGGCAAAAAATACACTATATTTTGAGATGTAAGTACATCAATAGTAAAAATATTAACATATACATGAGAATGATAAACATCAAACTGGAGGTGAATGGAGGATCAAAATGGAGTAAATATAGACAACTATATTTCTAAAGTTTTGTATCTTAAGTTCTAAAGTAAGTATCCAGAAATTAATTTTATTCTATCTTTTTGTGGTCTGAAATAATTTATGCTCAAAATAAAAAGTTAAAGTAAATTTTTAAAGGGCTTGATCATAATATAACTGAATTATGTAGCATTTTTACTCTTACAAAATTTCAATATCGAGACAATTTTTTTTCTCTGCTAGGATAGGGAATGAGGATGTAAAAATTACCACTTTAGAAACTTTTTCTTTATGTCTTTTCTCCTTTATATCCTATCATTTCAAATATAGCTAAATCTGGGTATTATATACATATAAGCCTATCACAGTGAAAAGCAGGAAGAATGGTAGGAATCTAAAGTAGTTCCTTTTATTTAAAGGCAATGAACAATAAAAGAAACCAAAATATAAACAGGCTTAAACAAACAACTATACTTGGCAAACAGGAAAGAGAAACACAGAATCCAGTTAATCTCAGTTAAATGCTGGAACTCACTTTTAAAAGCCATGCAAATTGCCTAACACTAGGATAGAAAGCAATTATTTTGATATCCGTGACGAAATGACAACTAGAGGTTTTATTAGAAAAGCAATATATTTTTGCCTCACATAAGTTCTAGACTGAAGCACCAAGTATGTGAGTAGAAACATATTGGCTCAGGTCCAGCTTCTTCCCTTATACAAAGATGACTAATTCCTCTACCTATAAAGTCAGCCCAGAATGTATTTTTTCAGAGGTTATTTTTTAATAACATATCTAAGAAATTCAGTGAATTCAAAAGGACAAGAAAAAAGTCTTCTAATTCTACCAACTTCTGTGAAAATTATGACACACATCTTTCCAGACATGTATATTGAAAAATAATAAAAATATGAGTAAAACATGTATATTGAAAAATAATAAAAATATGAGTAAAACTAAATAAAATAGGATCATAGGTATGAGATGTTCAAAGACAGCACCCAAAAACTGATAACGCCTTCCCTTCCAAAGTTAAGAATAAGTTGAGAAACAAACAAAGAATAAAATATCTCTGTTACTACCAATAGAAGCTGTAGGTATGCTGGACAAATGGGCTTGCTCATAGTGAAGCCCTGAGGTGGGCATGCCTTAGCACTGCACAGGGGCAAGCAGACCTCATCCTGCAGAGGGGAGCCTCTGCACAACTTAGTCCATTGAGAAATTACTCAATGGCTGTGGAAAGCTAGCTCCTTCATGGACAAAGGGCATCAATAGGCCAGTTAACTGCAAATTGATCAATCTGAAACATCATTCCACTAGGAATGGAGTGAATAAAGGAACAGGGGAAGACTCAGGGTGACACCAATGGAACTCCCTCTTCAGGAAAAAAACCTCAGAGGTAGAGAAAAAGTATGTCCCACTAATACTGTGATCATATTAAATGTATCATTTCCTAACCTACATTTCTTTTTTTTTTTATCCTCACCTAGGGACAAACTGCAACTGCGGTACGTGCCCTTAGCGGGAACTGAACCTGGGTCTCTCTGGACCGCAGGCTGATGCTCTTTTTTTTTTTTTTTTTTTAATCCTCACCCGAGGACATTTTTTGTTCAGATAGAGCGGGAGGGAGAGAGAGGAAGAGAGAGAGAGAGAGAAACATCGACGTGAAGGGACACATCGAGTGGCCGCCACCCGCACGACCAACCAGGGCCGGGGACAAACTGCAACCGAGGCACGTGCCCTTAGCGGGAACCGAACCCGGGTCTCTCTGTACCACAGGCCGACGCTCCAACCGCTGAGCCAAACCGGCCAGGGCCACAGGCTGATGCTCTAACCGCTGAGCCAAACCAGCCATGGCTCCTAACCTGCATTTCTACTTATCATAAATGTCTCTGCATTTTCATAAATATATATATATATCTATACCAATATTTTTAATAGCTGCATGATGTACCATTATATACAGTGGTCACAGTGCTTATACAATCTAGTGAAGGTATCAGCAAACTGTGCTTTTAAATTCATCAAGTACTCAGACTCTCCTTTGTTACATTCACTAGTATCTTCGTATTGAAGCTCAACATAGAAAAAATACAAATTAAAAGATGTCAGGATTTCATGCATAGGTCTTTCTATAGATGTTTCATAGCATAAATACTTTATCTTGTCTATTGTCTATCTCTGCCACCACTTCTCTTCCTCCCCCCAACCCTCAGAATTAATGTAGGTTCCACTAAGGCAGGAATTTTTGTTTCGTTTTGTTTACTATTTTTATTTCAAGTGGATAGAACAGTATCTGGGCACAAAGTAGGTGCTCAGTATTTGTTCAATGAATGAATGAATGATGTTGGTTGCTCCTCTATATCCTATTACCCTGGCACAATGGTTGTAATGTAAGAAAACAATAACAAAGCTTCTGAGTATGTGAACTATTAAGAGCTTTTATGATGCCTAATGTGGTCCCCGTGAAGTCTGTGCAAAGTTCTGGACCAACAAGAGCTTCACCACTGAGTAGACAAACATCCAAGGTGCTGCACAGGATCAAGCTGCAGTAGCAATACCATGTGACATCAAAAGGCAACAGCACTAGCAGGCTTAGGAGGTTCCAGTTCTCTTCCTGTTTACTAAAGTGGAATGACAATACCTTTGGGAGTCTCAAGAGGGAGAGAGAGTAAATGGGGAAGGAAATGCCTCAGAAAGCAAAGCAGGCAAAGCAAGACATGGAAACAACCCAAGTGTCCTTTGATGGATGATTGGAAAAAGATGTGGTGTATACAGTGAAATACTACTTAGCCAAGAATGAAATATTGCCATTTGTAATAACATGGGTGGATCTTGAGTATTATGCTAAGTGAAATAAGCCAGATGGAAAAGAACAAGAACTGTATGCTTTCACCCATATATGGGATATAAAACAAAAAGCAACAGAAAAAATAAACAAAAAAAACAAAGAGGGTAAAGGGGTCAAATACAAGGTGACAGGAGACCAGACTTTGGGTGGTGAGCACACAACAGAGCAGTAATTTTCAACCTTTTTCATCTC